CATATTTATCAAACTCTTAAGTAGGCTAATCTCTTTCCCTTTGTCATGTGACACCCTTTAGTTTTGAAATCTCTAGCTCTAAACGTAGAGGTATTCAAAACGTTTTACTCCCAACTTCTTATATAACCCAAGTCCATTGTCATTCTACTCAAGTGCACACAAATTGCTTAACTTCTGGCAAAGAGGAACAATGAGATACATAAACATTTGTTGTAGAATTTAGCAAACGTCATGCTGTTAGCCAACGCAATCCTTAAACAGAAATAACCTGTGCGACATCATAATCCGTAGCCCAGATAAATGGAGCGACAAACCCACTGGAAAACAGCTTAAACAGCTCTAATCCCAAAATTCCCAACAAATGTGTCTGCAAAGTGTTTTGTCATTTATGTGGCTGCTGCTGCTGTTGTCTATCCCATTCATGAACTGTAGTCACAATGTCTGATCTTTTGTGCAGCATCCTTTATCCGCTTGTCGATCGCACAATAATGGGCAAACGCATTCATATTGTGCCGTGCAGCAACCTGATTTTCGCACCTTGTCAACAATTGTTCAATAGAAACGTTCCTCGGGTATTAGTGGACCAGATTCGTGTATTTATAGCCCATGGAAGCAGGAAGACAGAGCGAAAGTCCAATTAATATTCTTCAGTTTTCACTCAAATGGAAAATCGTGCACCAATTAGTTACGGAAATCAATCAATGTTCAGGTCTTTAGCCAACATATGTTCAGATATAGTCAGAGTCTAAAGCTAATTGGCTGGCAAGGGTTGTGTGGCTCTGACTATCTATATATGCTCACTGTAAGATGATCCTTAGTCAATGGAAAACACACACACATACATAAACACTCTCTCTCACACAACAATCTTATTAGTTCTCATTAATGAAGCGTCGCTGGCTTTTGAGGTTTCCATTTACTCAAATAACAAATAAAACTTTTTTCCACATTTACAACTATCAATTATTTGTATACAGAGCGAAACTTGAATTGTTTTTCTAGTATTTGTATACTAGCATAAGCTAAAATTATAGTAGCTGTACGCATACATACATATTATATATTTATCTGTGGGATGGGGTTACACTTTTGCCAAGAATTTCATTGTGAAACGTGAAAAGAAGGCCTCGAGAGTGATTCACGGAAACTAGAGCAGCTATAATCCATTGATAAATATCATTTTCTAGATCTTTTCAATTGATTAGGAGTTTTTGGCCAATTCTTTCGAATTTTTCTTAAGGCAAAGTGAAAGCGGAAGCGAAACTGCTGATAAGAGCAGCTGCTAGAGACAAATTTGCTAACGAAATATATAT